CGACACGCTTCACTTCAGTGTAATCTAAACCATTATTCATTGCCTTTGTCACTGGAGTGCATGTTCTAGGAATTTTAAACCACATTTCTACAAAACAATAAAAGGTACTACTGTAGATAAAACAGTAGGGGAGGTGATTTGGAAAATGCATGAAAGGCACAAAGCAACGCTGGGAAACCCCACACGGTCCGGACAAACCGCAGACTGCTTCTCTGCAGCGCTTTTCCCTTCCCCGTTTATTCAGTCAATTCATTTTCTCCAGGAGTCATCGGCAATGCTGATCAATACCTCATGATGTGGTTTATATGGCCCTGCCAGAGACAGAGAGCAACATTGATGTGACACAGGTCAGCTTCACTCAACACCCAATGCATTGTATGTATAATGTTCATTAACCCTACGCAAATTGATATTCATATATGCTGACTGTTCCCGTGTCGTAGTGGTTAGATCAGCTGGTAGGTACTCTGGCCTGGGGGAAAACCGTTCAAAATGTGCATTTCTCTCTTGTCATGAATAAATATTGATTTGCAGGAAGTACAAAATTTCCAACGGCAATCATATTGCTTGTATCAACGCCGTCCGGTGAAAGTGCTGCGAGTGTGCGCATGAAAAAACTGCACAAGAATTGATGAATGTGTCATATTAGAAAAAAAAAGTGGCATGTTCATCCAAGCTTCTTTCCCTTGTCAAACCCTAGATGATATAAAAGAAGAGGGAAATATTATTTGCAACCAACACAAATATTACTCACAGGTTCACCCGCCATACATCTGGGGCAATGCTGTCCTGCACCACGTCCCGGGGCGGGCAACACCTGCTGACAAGCCCAAACACATTACAGATTGAAATAAAGATTTGCAAATTGATATGCAAGCACCATTACGATTAATACCACTAATAATATGTTTTTGTTAAGGATACTTGTACAAATCAATGTAAACCATCACTTTATGGTAAACTTTAGCTCTTGAGTTCAATAAAACAGACTGTGACCTTTAACCCCTGCATTCCACATGCACCATAAACACAAGAACATCAGATAAGAGCAATATACATGTTCATTTCAACACTGTAAACAACAAGAAGAAGGATTTGCTTCCAAATTATGGTAGAAATTCTTAACTAGGCAGAGAACAGGCATGTGTGAGAACAAATACCATCCCGGGGACGTTGGCGTTGTGTCCATTTTGAGGGTTGTGATTTGGGGCGTCCCATGTGTCCATTGGAGTGTCCACCACCACACCACATTCAACATGCCCACTGCCTCCTAGTCCATTACACAGCCTTTTCTGTGAGATTCAGAGAGATGCATTAAAACTATATTCGGCTTAATTATGTAACAAGATGGCAATGAGAGCAAAAGCAGCTGTCATGCCATGGTGTCCACTGTTTCTATAAATCATAACAGCTATTTCCAGCGACGATCAGCTGGGTGTTTATATACTAATAATAACTCATATAACTCATTTTGTAAAGGGGAACAATCTGTACAAACACCACAGAAGGTCAAACAAAGGCATCTAAGTGTTACAAGCATATTTGCGTTTAAAACATGAATTAAGAGTAAGTAAATATTTAGTAAATTGGTCAATTTACCGTCTGTGTGTGCAAATGTTCATACTCTCCTCCACCAAGTCTTCTCTTATTCTTCGTGGGACTTATGCAATCCATTGTTTATTTTACAGTACTTAAACTCACAGAGGTTTAATTCAAAACACTTGCTGAATTAGAAGCTCAGAACTCCCATATGAATCAATGCAAAATCAAAAACCCATTTTATTCACCAGCCAAAGCCGGGCACTTTTATTTATCGCACATCGAGGCTTTTGCACAAGTATTATGTATGATAAACAAAAAACAACAATTCTAAAAATGTCGGATTTGAAAATAAAATCCAATGTTGTAGTTCCCCAGTGTGACTCTTCACGTCCTGCTTTTAATGTTCACGTCCTGATTTTAATCCGAATTATAGTTCCTGTCTCGTTCAAGATGAGTGACATACAGTTGCGCCAACCAATCAATGAACAGTACGGGAAAACAGAGGCGGGGCTCCGTCAAACGGAGCATTTTTATTCGACGAACGGGTATTGAGCGCGAATGAGTGTAATTTAAAGCAATAGTTCACCTCAAAATAAAAACTTTTATAGTTTATTCTCACCCTTGTACTTTTCACCCTTGCATTTGTTAACATAGGGTCAATCTTAATTTTGCTCCTTATCTTGTTGCGTATTTCACACTGATCATACTTTCCCAATGTAATGTAAATACTTCTTAAATCAAAGTGTATTAAAGTAAACTTTCAAGTTAAAAAATTACACATAATGTTTATAGAAGTAGTTCATGATTAATGTGATATATTTCAAGTCTTCTAAAGAATAAGATATCTTTGTGTGGCAATATGTAAGTAGTAATACAAATATTCAAGTGAAAGATGCAGTAGGCTACTGATTCAGTCAGGTGATTTCCACATACTGCAATTTCACCTCTGAAAGAAAGGATAAGAAATGTGACTTGAAACTTACTATGTTAAATATAACAAAAAGTGTATGTTAATCCACTATCTTATATTTAACTCAATATCATATCATTTTGTCTGGAATGTGTTCGATGTATCGTGTATCATTTGGTAAAGTCTTGCGTCTCTGCAGAGTGTCCGCCTGATAGAGAGTTCGGTGATCTGTTAATAACGCCTGGCAGCATGGCGAACCTCACGGACGCGACATCACTGAAGCAATTTGAGGAATTATTAAAAAATAACAGCAAGTAAGTGAAGTTTGTCAACTCTGTCGTTAAATATAATTCAATTCGCACTGCTCTTCATCTTATTTAACACATATACACGGCCATAGGGTTATAGAGGCCTTTTTGAACGTACAGAATTAAATAACCGATGGCCTGTTCAGATAAACACAAATATATATACAATATATGTAAATCCATATGAATTCATTTTTAAGGATCTGGATAGATTAGGATAATCGATTAATTGCTTTAATATATCAATATTTTGTGTCAGCTGTCCTTTATCATTTTCTGTTTGGTTTTTGGGAGCATTTGAGAAATTCATGCTGTTCATAGTTAACGTTACAGTCAAAGTCTATTATTATTATTATTATAATTAGTAGAATTGGTGGTAGTATGAATAATAGTGTTAGTCTCATAATCAGAACTCGTGGCTGCGTTTTGACATACTAACTTAATTCATTTAGTTTGTAATGAATACGTTTGTACTTTGTTGTCATTGTCAGGTCCTGTCATTCCAAGCTTGTATGTCAAAACTAATTTTTAAAACGGCATTTGACATATTTTCAGCGAATATGACTTAATAATAATCTCAGATCTTAAGACTACAGGTTACATGAACAATCATTCCCAGTTTGCTCCACACTTTCATTTTGTTTCTTAATTAAATACAAGTATTTCCTGTTCATCTGGTATCATTACAGAAGAGCATTCAGAGACAACTAATTAATACAAATGATTCTTGTTATTATTGTGATGCAGCATAGTTTTTATGCTCTGAGCTGTTTTCAGGGAGGAGGTTCAAACCTTGCAAATGTTTATACATGAACAACCACCATTGTGCAAAGCACTTAACCAAAAATGTCCCTAAAATGGCATTTAAAATGTTTTCTAAAAGACAAATAAGAAGTAAGTGTTTATGTTTTATATGATTGGTCGTTATGACTGTGGGATTTTTTTAGCTTCTTGTCCTCACTGTCAAAATTATAACATTTACTCCACATTACAGTATGAAATTAGCCTGTCTGCGCCCTCCTACGCACTTCCGATCAATTTCATTTTACTTCTGTACTAAATGAAATGAACTAGAGTCTGGTTGAACCAGGCTAGTATGAAATGCGCAATTAAATGAATCTAGTATTTGCTTTAAAAGTGTATTTGCCTGAGACAATCCTTCCTAAATTTAGAGATCAAAGTCTGTAATCCAAGTTTCTTGAAAGCTCATCTTCGTTTTTACCTCCCAGGTCCCTCACCGTTGTCCATTTCCATGCGCCATGGGCTCCGCAGTGTTCACAGATGAACGATGTGATGGCAGAATTAGCCAAAGAGCACAAACACACCATGTTTGTGAAGGTAAAGGAGACCATTGACTCTTACAGCATCTTTAGCAGAATTTGTCACTAATAGCTGCCAGAAATGTACATGTCTGGCTGCTGAAAGCAACAGAACCATGTTCTGAATATCCCATATTGTTTTAATGTATTATTCTTCTCATTGCAAAGTTATTATTTTTTGCTTGCTATTCGGCCAGTTTGCAGAAAGGCAAATGTTGGACCTCTAAATTGATAAATGAAATTTTAATGTAAACATTTTATTTAAATTTCAAAACAAATTTTGATCACATCATAACATTCAAGCTCTATTTTTTTGATGGGTACACCTATGACTTAGTACTCGCATAAGTTGTAATAATTGGATATAAAGTATTTCTATTGGATCTTCAAACGATATTCCTGATGGGAAAAATCAAGTCCCAGCCTACATTTTTCTCATCCTAGAAGCCGTTTCACTCGGATATGCGTCACAATTCTGAAGATAAGATCCTCACAGCATCCGTTTCATGCTCTTTTTTTCAGGAAATATATTTTTTACTGGTTATTTAGTATTTCATTCTTTTGTGAATTTACAAAATTTATTTATTAAATTCAATGTTTTCTCATATCTCAGCCTCCAGTGAAAAAACTGTGTTCGCAGCTCTTAGAATTTTTATTTTTAAGTGTTCAACACTGTCACACAGTCAAAATGTTGCTCTTTTTGTTCGAGCATCTAAACCAGCCCCCCAGTAATGGCTCAACCAATGGCTGAGTTTTGGGGTAGAACTCTCTATTTGTCTGACTAACTGCAGATGGCAGGGAGTGTTTGAGAAACCTGTTTGAAAATCGCCATTATTCTCACAAATTTTCCTGTGTGCTCTCCTTCCTCTGCTCCAATTCCCAGTGGAGCTCATTGAAATGCCTCAGGCTGTCAATGACTTTACCTTACTCATGGCTCTTAAAGGAACACACCGACTTTTTGGGACTTTAACTTATTCACCGTATTCCTCAGAGTTAGATAAGTCCATATACATACCCTTCTCATCTCTGTGCGTGACGTAACTCTCTCTGACGCACCCACTGCTAGCTTAGCTAAGCACAAATACTTGAGGTAAACAGCTCCATCTAGCATACTGCTCAAAATAACACCAACATTTTCCAATTTACATGTTGTGATTTGTACAAATAACAAGGTCACACGAGACAGCCATCCTTTAACTGTATAGACCATTTTGCAAGATGTAAACAACACTTGTCTGTTTGTAAATGGTTTCTTTATTTCAAATGTAAAGAAAACATCTTAAAGCTGTGTGTTTTAAATTTTTGATTCAGTTGTAAATGTTATGTTGGTTGGCACAAAATGGTCTATACTGGGAACTATATTCTCAGAAGGCGAAGCACTGCTTCTTGGGTGGGGTGATTTGCTCGCAGCACCTGAGATCACCAGTCACGTTCGCTACTAGCTAGCTAGTCATGTTGGTTTTGATGACCGAAGTAACAACGGTTCTTTTCAGGTGTTGCATTAATCACTCCGTCAAAGTAGCAGTTCTTTGCTTTCTGAGAATATAGTTCCCTTCCCAGTATACGGTTAGAAGATGGCTGTGTCTCATGTGACCTTGTTATTTGTACACACTGTGACTATACAAATCACAAAATGTAAATTGGAAAATGTTGGCTTTATTTTGTCACTTATTGGGAGCATTATGCTAGCTGGAGCTGTTTACCTCCAGTTTTTGTGCTAAGTTAGGCTTAGTTAAGGGACGCACGGAGATGAGAAGGGTATGTATGGACTTATCTAAGAGATAAGATACGGTGAATAAGTCCCCAAAAGTCGGAGTGTTCCTTTAAACCAGCAAAGATAATTTTTACCTTCTGTCAAGGGTTAATACTGTCTTTCGTTTCGTCACACAGACAACGGAGCAGAAGAGTTCTTCAAGCAACAACTCTATATAAATAAAATATGTTGGATTCTTTAAAATTAGCATGGAATATGATCATTTTTCTTTGCTTAATATTTTAGTTATTTTTTTAAAAATGTATGCGTAGGCAGTAGGCACAATTTATGTGTGTCTTCAAAACTAGTTTCAGCCCTTTAGCCATAAGCCTTTAGATGTTAAAATGTTTTTTTTAAGATCATCAGAAACGTAAAATCAACATAAACTGTCCAAATTTTGACTGTCATCACTACACATAAGAGCTGAAGAGATAGTCCTCAATTCCATGTAAAAAAAAAGAAAAATCTTTTTGTAAACTTTCAGTGTGTGTGTGTGTTTTTGTTTGACATGTTGATGTGTGTGATGTTTTATTGATGTGAATTATAAAGAATCATTAGTACAGTAGTTTTCTCTCTCTCTTTAGCTGGAGGCTGAGGCAGTCCCGGAGGTTTCTGAGAAGTACGAGATCACTTCAGTTCCCACCTTCCTCTTCTTCAAGGTAAAACTCACATTTGGCGTCAACTGGGCTCAGATTGACCTAAAATTGTGATTATATGAGTAGGGTAGGAGGTTAATTCTGCCACAAATGGGAAACATACTTTCTACATACTACGAATATGATTTAAATCGATTAAAGTCTATTATATATATATATATATATATATATTATGGTTGTTTGTGTCTCAGAATATCTCTCCTACTATCTCTAAAAATGCATCTTACAGACAATCATTTTAGCTGGCGTTTAGTCAACTAGGTGACTACATCACAATAAAAATATATATAACCGGAAACAAATTAGTTGTACTATTTCAGAAATATTAGTGCAAGTTGTCCATTGGTTTTCTTTACAATAATGTGCACTGCTGAACCATGCATTTAAGACCAGCTAAATTCATTAAAGTAATTTCATTCATTCATTTCAGAATTTATATCATTTCTGTATAGCATGAAGTCCACTAATACACTGTGTTCTTTTTGTTTCATGAAGCATGCTGATTCGAGCCAGATTTCGTCTAGTTTTTTAAAAAAAACACAGCTTTCATTTATGTTAGGTGTGCTGCGATAGTGTTTTGTGTTTATTTAGCAGAGGGAGGTGAGGTTAGAAAAACGGAGTCTGCTGGGAAGGTAGAGTTTAACGATCAAGTAATGTGAGCTGCAAAATCTCCTCGTGTTAGAATCAAGCAACTGAGAAATAATCGGAGGTTAAACAAACACACGGCTTGGCAAGACTTTCCCTCTCTTGGCGTAACATGTCAAAGAACCAGGAGAGCCTGCGGCCTGTTTTCTCTCTCTCTCTCTCTCTCTCTCTCTGCAAACAATCTAAACAAACTGGCAAGCATCCTAAAAAATGAATGCTGTTTTTTCCCTCCCTCTCAATCTATCACTACTCACTCTTGAGTGTTTCTTATTTATTTATTTATTTGTTTACCGTCAACCCTCAGGGCGGTGAGAAGATTGACAGGTTGGATGGTGCGCATGCCCCTGAGCTGACCAATAAGGTGCAGCGGCTGGGGTCCAGTGGGGGCGGGGCTGCAGGGGTGGGGGACGTCCCTAAAGAGGATCTCAACGAGAGACTGAAGAGGCTGATCAACGCCGCACCCTGCATGCTCTTCATGAAGGGATCGCCCCAGGAGCCTCGCTGTGGTAAACACACCGGCATACACGCACTCGCATAAATTAACACGGGGTCAGGGGGTTAGTTGGAGCAACCGCTGGTGGTGGAGTGAACGAGACGGATTTGTTTCGAGTGCAAAGGACATGTGTCTGGTAGTGCCACTATATCCCAGCTACGCCTTTTCTACCAAAAGAGTGCCGAGACTGGTGTCCATTCAAGTTTTCACTGCTTAAAAATAGGGATGTGCATGAATATTCAATCTAATTTTTTGCTTTGCTGACCATAAATGCAGTGAATCCATGATAACGTGTGCAAACATTGTCGTGTAAAACTTACAAACTGATTTTGAGTTGATATCACAACCACAATGAGAAATCAGATCAGAACCATCGTTATTGACCAGTCGAATAAGGAAAGACAGCTGTACCCACGAGTGGGCCGAGAAGATAACTTACCTGATCTCGAGACATTCTCCCTTTAAAGGAGTAGGTCACTTTTACAAAAACTTTTGCTGATAATTTACTCACCCCCATGTCATCCAAGATGTCCATGTCTTTCTTTCTTCAGTCGAAAAGAAATTAAGGTTTTTGATGAAAACATTCCAGGATTTTTGTCCATATAATGGACTTCATTGGGAACCAAACGGTTCAAGGTCCAAATGAGAGTTTCAGTGCAGCTTCGAACTCGTTCATCAAAATGAACGAATCTTTTTCCGAGTCATTTCGTTCGTTGATTTAATCAAATGACTCGGAAAAAAGAATTGTTCATTTTGATGAACGAGTTCGAACAGGAGAGTCACGAACGCTCATCACAGAACAGAGCAAGGCGAGCATTTGTGCTTGTAAAACTTAAAACTTTTTTATTTATTTTTGAAATGATCGATCGTTTCGCTGGATAAGACCCTTATTCATCATCTGGTGTCGTTTAAAGCCCTTTGAAGCTGCACTGAAACTCTCATTTGGACCCTGAACTGTTTGGACCCCATTGAAGTCCATTATATGGAGAAAAATCCTGGAATGTTTTCATCAAAAACCTTAATTTCTTTAAAAGACGTGGACATCTTGCAGTCAATTATCAGCAAAAGTTTTTTTATTTTAAAGTGAACTACTCCTTTAAGTTTCGTCCAGACTGAGGATAGTTATCTTTATTTGTGATTTATTTTTTTTTTTTTTCTTTCTGCTTGAGCTTAAATGCTTTTGTTTTTTTTGGTTACACACATTGTCTAAAAGAAAACCTCAAGATATAAACTTGTTGCATATATTGCCTAAACATAAGCTTGTTTAGAAATGGTGACAAAAACGTAATGATAAAAAAGAACATATTTCTTTCATTCAAAGTGCACAAACTCTATCAGTTCACGTATTACCTGGGAATCGAACCCATGACATTGATAACGCTATGCTCTACTGTTTGAGCTACAGCAGATTTTAATTAGACATTTTCACAATTTTATTATTAACTACCAAATAATTGTTTTAACAATCTGTTGACAAGGATGCTGGTGGATTTGAAGCTGACACAAGGGTGAACATCCGCTTTTATTAAATCAACAATTGGCCGAAATAAGGAACGTGTTCTGCTTTTTTACATCCAATTTAAATCTTCACAGTGACAGCTTAATAACTTAATAGTATGTTAGAGTTTAGTTTGTGTTTAACTTCAGGCTGTCAGTTTGATCTTGCTGATTTCTGTTTGATTTGCTGATTTTCTGGCTTGCTTCTAACACTTCCTCCTCATGTCAAAGATATGGAAAATATCCTCATATTAATTTCACCCATTCAAAACAAAATACTTTTGATAGTTCAAAGAGCATATTTCGTCATGGACTGAGGCGCAGTTTAGCGTTTGACGTTTTGGCTGTGTAAAGAGGAAGGTCTGGGGGAAGGCTGGCGTTTGCCATCCTGAGATCAAAATAAAAAGCATATTGAACTCTAATCTCAAACGTGATGTTGGGCTTTCAACGGCTGCCAGCTCCTCCAGCTCTGCTTTATTAATAGAAGATCCTCGGAGTTTACGCTGCTTCGTCTCTGAGCCCGAAACCTGTTGCTTGGCGCCGTTGATGTTATTTGAAGCCACGCTAGGTGTCAGTGGGTCGGCCCGGCTCGGAGATATTATAATGTTGGAACTTATTGATGTTCGCATTCGCTTGGCTGATGTCCAAATCAAGAAATAATGCACAGAGAGCAAGCCATGCCTGTCGGTGGCGTGCATTGGCTTCCAAACGTAAACGCGCTCTTTTCGTTCCAATTCGAGCGTCGAGCCAAATGAACGAGTGTTCGGATAACGCTAACTTTAAAGCAGTTACGCATGTCAAATTAAAAGGTTAAGGGTCCGTGTAGCAATTCAGATCTCTTAGCCTTTCTCGCTCTGAGTGGGCTGTCCTTCAAAAGAGGAACGAGGCTGTAACATCGCCCCTCTCCTGGAGCAGTGGGCCAAGGCGAGCGGTCTTCGTCCCCTGTAGGTGCAGGCAGAGAGGGGTAAAGGACTCGGCAATCAATGCAGCATGTCTGGTGGAGTTCGCCCGGAGCCAAAGAAAGCAGCTGCCCGCCTGTTTGCCCGCTCTGATAGAGTCGAGCTAATATACCAGCAAATGCATAAGCACAAGTGAGACGCCTGAAGCTGTTTTATAATGAATTCCCTCATGAGCCACACAAGATGAAAATGGGTGTTTTACTGCAGGGGCTACACAGACTCTACACCTCACCTTGCACATCTATCTCTCTCTTTCTTTCTCTCCTGATCTTGTTTCTTTCTCTCGCTCACTCCTCCTCCCTGTGTGCCGTTTCTCTTGCGTCTTGTTCTCTTTGTCTCCTCCCATCTAATCTCTCTCTCTCTCCTCTCATTTTCGGCTTGTAGTCATCTCATGAACTGAACTTCTATTTAAAATTCAGAAATCATCAAATTTGATTCTGCGAGTTCCAGCTTTCAGTCGTGTTGCCCAATATTGCATAGTATCTAAAAATGAGTAATTATGATTTCACATTATATTTAAAATGTATTATAATTATAGTTAAAACTAAAATCCTAAAAAAAACACAAACAATTTCCAAAACATTGACTGAAACGATAATAAAAAATCTTTATTTCAACTTGTTGGCATTGAAACATTTCTCTTTTTCATTTAGTTTAACTTGATGTGCTAAAATAAGTAACAATGAAATAAAGCTAAATCAAAACTGTATAGACAGTCACATTAAAACAAACTTCTAAAATGTATAAAAAGCAACAATAAATCTAAAACTTAAAAATTCTAATAAATATAAAAACTAATTTAGAATATGAATAAAAGCTATAATAGTACATTGATACTAAAATGATACTAAAATAATTAGATTAATAAATGTATTGTTTATAGAAATAAACAAGTTTCTTCAAAACTTTTAAATAGTGCTTTTAATAAAATGTTTTTTTATGAATAAGTAACAATGAAATAAAGCTAAATAAAAACTGTTTAGACATTAAAACAAACTACTAAAATTTAAAAAAAGCAACAATAAATCTAAAACTTAAAAAATTCTAATAAATATAAAAACTAATTTAGAATATGAATAAAAACTATAATAGTACATTGATACTAAAATGACACTAAAAAATAATTAGATTAATAAATGTATTTTTTATAGAAATAAACAAGTTTCTTTAACTTTAAAATTGTGTTTTTAATAAAATGTTTTATGCACAAAAAATATTTTACATTTTTCAGTGACAAATGACAACTTTTGTTGTCATTGTTGTGACTTTAGAAATATAATATGAATAGTTTCTTTACTTTAATAAAATAATTTTTAGTTTCTTCAAAGCTTCTAAATAAGTTCAAGCTAGTAAAAATCACATAAGCAAACTAAACGGGATGAACTGCAGTAATAATGTTTTTTATTATTTATTTTTTTTGCAGGCTTTAGTCGTCAGATTATTCAAATTTTGAAGGACCACAATGTACAGTACAGCACTTTTGACATCCTCTCGGACGAAGAGGTCAGACAGGGTCTCAAGGTCTTCTCCAACTGGCCCACTTATCCACAAGTCTACGTTAAGGGAGATCTCATCGGGGGACTGGACATCATGAAGGTGCGATATAACAATCATACAACAATAACAACATGATTGCGTTCAAAGAAAATGTTGAGTTTTTTGCTATGCTCTTATTTTCTTAAAGGGATAGTTCACTTTGAAATAAATCTTTGATATGTTTTAGCTTACCTCAAGATGTAGGTGTCTGTTCCCACAGTATTTTCAATTTTGATATTTTTCGGTCAAACCGTTGTTGTCTATCAGTCATATAATGCAGGTTTAGGGGGTCCACCCTAGGTTCACCTCAAAGAGCATGCACAGAGAAGTCCAAATTAAACATGATTTAATGACTCGTAAATGTAAGTCCACATTGATGGCCTAAGACACGAAACGAGCGGTTTGTGTGAGAAAACGAACAGTGTTTATATCTTTTTTACCTCGTGTGACCACAGCCACGTCTAAGTGATCTGAAGGCACGGGCGCAGAAGGAACAGATCAATCGCACCAGAGTGTATTTTAATCAAACATGCCAACTGTGAACACACCCTTGTGATTTTCGTTTTGTTTTATCCCGTGTGTATATCATGGTAAGTGTTTGCATTTCAGGACTTTTGACGGCGTGTGTGTTCTCGGCTAGCTGTTAGTAGCTGTATGTTGCTTACATTCCCAGCGAGCTCATTCTGCTTAAAGCAAGCAGAGCGCCCCTGCTGAGAGAGGAGGGCTAGATTAGCCAGCATCCATCGTCTCTTCTCTCAGAAGACCTAGAGCCCCTTCCTCATTAAGATAGTGAATTTACCTTCACAGAGAGGTAAAACATCTCATCAGGGAGCTGTTAGAGCGTGGATGTGTGTGTCGACTTGAAAGGGAGTTTGGATTCAAAGACGTTTTATATCCTCCACAGGAGCTGGTCGAGTCTGGTGAACTAGAGAATACTTTCCCCAAGACCGTCTCGCTGGAAAACAGGTAAAGACAGATACATGCACGCTCAATCGCCTGCTTCTGTATGACTGGACTCGTTTAACCATCCTGTCTTCTGACAGGCTGAAATCTCTAATCAATAAATCACCCGTCATGCTCTTCATGAAAGGCAATAAAGAGGTGAGTGACCTTAAATACTCTCTCTCACACATTTTCTCTCTCCTGAAACACACTTTAAAAGAGTTAGGAGAAAGCAAGGGTTGTTAAAGGGATAGATCACCTCAAAATTCAATTTCTCTTATTTAATCAACCTCGTGTCATTCCAAATCCATATTACTGTATATATATATATATATATATATATTTTTTTTTTATTATAAATTTATATTTTTTATCTATGAACACTTTTCTCGTACAACAACATGGTCATATTGGGTCAAATTATGGTCAAATTAAGCCATAAAATATATTTAAGTCTTAACCAGCTTGAAGAACAGACTTCCCAATTTAAGGAGTTGGAGAAGGTTTCACCCCAAAGATTTTTGGGGTGATCTTATCCTTTAATGTACAGTTAGAGAAGGTTTTTGGGGTGATCTTTTCCTTTAGTGTACAGTTAGAGAAGGTTTTTGGGGTGATCTTTTCCTTTAGTGTACAGTGAGAGAAGGTTTTTGGGGTGATCTTTTCCTTTAGTGTACAGTAAGAGAAGGTTTTTGGGGTGATCTTTTCCTTTAGTGTACAGTAAGAGAAGGTTTTTGGGGTGATCTTTTCCTTTAATGTACAGTGAGAGAAGGTTTTTGGGGTGATCTTTTCCTTTAGTGTACAGTTAGAGAAGGTTTTTGGGGTGATCTTTTCCTTTAGTGTACAGTAAGAGAAGGTTTTTGGGGTGATCTTTTCCTTTAGTGTACAGTAAGAGAAGGTTTTTGGGGTGATCTTTTCCTTTAGTGTACAGTGAGAGAAGGTTTTTGGGGTGATCATTTCCTTTAGTGTACAGTTAGAGAAGGTTTTTGGGGTGATCTTTTCCTTTAGTGTACAGTAAGAGAAGGTTTTTGGGGTGATCTTTTCCTTTAGTGTACAGTAAGAGAAGGTTTTTGGGGTGATCTTATCCTTTAATGTACAGTAAGAGAAGGTTTTTGGGGTGATCATTTCCTTTAGTGTACAGTAAGAGAAGGTTTTTGGGGTGATCATTTCCTTTAGTGTACAGTTAGAGAAGGTTTTTGGGGTGATCATTTCCTTTAGTGTACAGTAAGAGAAGGTTTTTGGGGTGATCTTTTCCTTTAGTGTACAGTGAGAGAAGGTTTTTGGGGTGATCATTTCCTTTAGTGTACAGTTAGAGAAGGTTTTTGGGGTGATCTTTTCCTTTAGTGTACAGTAAGAGAAGGTTTTTGGGGTGATCTTTTCCTTTAGTGTACAGTAAGAGAAGGTTTTTGGGGTGATCTTATCCTTTAATGTACAGTAAGAGAAGGTTTTGGGGTGATCTTTTCCTTTAGTGTACAGTAAGAGAAGGTTTTGGGGTGATCTTTTCCTTTAGCGTACAGTAAGAGAAGGTTTTTGGGGTGATCTTATCCTTTAGTGTACAGTAAGAGAAGGTTTTTGGGGTGATCTTTTCCTTTAGTGTACAGTTAGAGAAGGTTTTTGGGGTGATCTTTTCCTTTAGTGTACAGTTAGAGAAGGTTAGGGGTGATCTCCTTTAGTGTACAGTGAGAGAAGGTTTTTAGGGTGATCTTTTCCTTTAGTGTACAGTTAGAGAAGGTTTGGGGTGATCTCCTTTAGTGTACAGTGAGAGAAGGTTTTTAGGGTGATCTTTTCCTTTAGTGTACAGTTAGAGAAGGTTTGGGGTGATCTCCTTTAGTGTACAGTAAGAGAAGGTTTTGGGGTGATCTTTTCCTTTAGCGCACAGTAAGAGAAGGTTTTTAGGGTGATCTTTTCCTTTAGTGTACAGTTAGAGAAGGTTAGGGGTGATCTTTTCCTTTAGTGTACAGTTAGAGAAGGTTAGGGGTGATCTCCTTTAGTGTACAGTTAGAGAAGGTTTTTAGGGTGATCTTTTCCTTTAGTGTACAGTAAGAGAAGGTTTTTAGGGTGATCTTTTCCTTTAGTGTACAGTTAGAGAAGGCTTTTGGGGTGATCATTTCCTTTAGTGTACAGTTAGAGAAGGTTTTTAGGGTGATCTTTTCCTTTAGTGTACAGTTAGAGAAGGTTAGGGGTGATCTCCTTTAGTGTACAGTTAGAGAAGGTTTTTAGGGTGATCTTTTCCTTTAGTGTACAGTTAGAGAAGGTTTTTGGGGTGATCTTTTCCTTTAGCGCACAGTAAGAGAAGGTTTTTAGGGTGATCTTTTCCTTTAGTGTACAGTTAGAGAAGGCTTTTGGGGTGATCATTTCCTTTAGTGTACAGTTAGAGAAGGTTTTTGGGGTGATCTTTTCCTTTAGCGTACAGTGAGAGAAGGTTTTTAGGGTGATCTTTTCCTTTAGTGTACAGTTAGAGAAGGTTAGGGGTGATCTCCTTTAGTGTACAGTTAGAGAAGGTTTTTAGGGTGATCTTTTCCTTTAGTGTACAGTTAGAGAAGGTTTGGGGTGATCTCCTTTAGTGTACAGTAAGAGAAGGTTTTTGGGGTGATCTTTTCCTTTAGCGTACAGTTAGAGAAGGTTTTTAGGGTGATCTTTTCCTTTAGTGTACAGTTAGAGAAGGTTTTTAGGGTGATCTTTTCCTTTAGTGTACAGTTAGAGAAGGTTAGGGGTGATCTCCTTTAGTGTACAGTGAGAGAAGGTTTTTAGGGTGATCTTTTCCTTTAGTGTACAGTTAGAGAAGGTTTGGGGTGATCTCCTTTAGTGTACAGTAAGAGAAGGTTTTTGGGGTGATCTTTTCCTTTAGCGTACAGTAAGAGAAGGTTTTTAGGGTGATCTTTTCCTTTAGTGTACAGTTAGAGAAGGTTTTTGGGGTGATCTTTTCCTTTAGCGTACAGTAAGAGAAGGTTTTTAGGGTGATCTTTTCCTTTAGTGTACAGTTAGAGAAGGTTTTTGGGGTGATCATTTCCTTTAGTGTACAGTTAGAGAAGGTTAGGGGTGATCTCCTTTAGTGTACAGTTAGAGAAGGTTTTGGGGTGATCTTTTCCTTTAGTGTACAGTTAGAGAAGGTTTTTAGGGTGATCTTTTCCTTTAGTGTACAGTTAGAGAAGGCTTTTGGGGTGATCATTTCCTTTAGTGTACAGTTAGAGAAGGTTAGGGGTGATCTCCTTTAGTGTACAGTTAGAGAAGGTTTTTAGGGTGATCTTTTCCTTTAGTGTACAGTTAGAGAAGGTTAGGGGTGATCTCCTTTAGTGTACAGTTAGAGAAGGTTTTTAGGGTGATCTTTTCCTTTAGTGTACAGTTAGAGAAGGTTTTGGGGTGATCTTTTCCTTTAGCGCACAGTAAGAGAAGGTTTTTAGGGTGATCTTTTCCTTTAGTGTACAGTAAGAGAAGGCTTTTGGGGTGATCATTTCCTTTAGTGTACAGTTAGAGAAGGTTTTTGGGGTGATCTTTTCCTTTAGCGTACAGTGAGAGAAGGTTTTTAGGGTGATCTTTTCCTTTAGTGTACAGTTAGAGAAGGTTAGGGGTGATCTCCTTTAGTGTACAGTTAGAGAAGGTTTTTAGGGTGATCTTTTCCTTTAGTGTACAGTTAGAGAAGGTTTGGGGTGATCTCCTTTAGTGTACAGTAAGAGAAGGTTTTTGGGGTGATCTTTTCCTTTAGCGTACAGTGAGAGAAGGTTTTTAGGGTGATCTTTTCCTTTAGTGTACAGTTAGAGAAGGTTAGGGGTGATCTCCTTTAGTGTACAGTTAGAGAAGGTTTTTAGGGTGATCTTTTCCTTTAGTGTACAGTTAGAGAAGGTTTGGGGTGATCTCCTTTAGTGTACAGTTAGAGAAGGTTTTTGGGGTGATCTTTTCCTTTAGCGTACAGTAAGAGAAGGTTTTTAGGGTGATCTTTTCCTTTAGTGTACAGTAAGAGAAGGTTTTTGGGGTGATCTTTTCCTTTAGCGTACAGTAAGAGAAGGTTTTTAGGGTGATCTTTTCCTTTAGTGTACAGTTAGAGAAGGTTTTTGGGGTGATCTTTTCCTTTAGTGTACAGTAAGAGAAGGTTTTTGGGGTGATCTTTTCCTTTAGTGTACAGTGAGAGAAGGTTTTTGGGGTGATCTTATCCTTTAGTGTACAGTTAGAGAAGGTTTTTGGGGTGATCTTTTCCTTTAGCGTACAGTAAGAGAAGGTTTTTGGGGTGATCTTATCCTTTAGTGTACAGTTAGAGAAGGTTTTTGGGGTGATCTTATCCTTTAGTGTACAGTAAGAGAAGGTTTTTGGGGTGATCTTATCCTTTAGTGTACAGTAAGAGAAGGTTTTTGGGGTGATCTTTTCCTTTAGTGTACAGTTAGAGAAGGTTTTTGGGGTGATCTTATCCTTTAGTGTACAGTAAGAGAAGGTTTTTGGGGTGATCTTATCCTTTAGTGTACAGTAAGAGAAGGTTTTTGGGGTGATCTTTTCCTTTAGTGTACAGTTAGAGAAGGTTTTTGGGGTGATCTTTTCCTTTAGTGTACAGTTAGAGAAGGTTTTTGGGGTGATCTTTTCCTTTAGTGTACAGTTAGAGAAGGTTTTTGGGGTGATCTTTTCCTTTAGTGTACAGTTAGATAAGGTTTTTGGGGTGATCTTTTCCTTTAGCGTACAGTTAGAGAAGGATTTGGGGTGATCTTTTCCTTTAGTGTACAATTAGAGAAGGTTTTTGGGGTGATCTTTTCCTTTAGTGTACAGTTAGAGAAGGTTTTTGGGGTGATCTTTTCCTTTAGTGTACAGTAAGAGAAGGTTTTTGGGGTGATCTTTTCCTTTAGTGTACAGTAAGAGAAGGTTTTTGGGGTGATCTTATCCTTTAGTGTACAGTAAGAGAAGGTTTTGGGGTGATCTTTTCCTTTAGTGTACAGTTAGAGAAGGTTTTTGGGGTGATCTTTTCCTTTAGTGTACAGTGAGAGAAGGCTTTTGGGGTGATCTTTTCCTTTAGCGTACAGTGAGAGAAGGTTTTTAGGGTGATCTTTTCCTTTAGTGTACAGTTAGAGAAGGTTTAGGGGTGATCTCCTTTAGTGTACAGTTAGAGAAGGTTTTTAGGGTGATCTTTTCCTTTAGTGTACAGTTAGAGAAGGTTTGGGGTGATCTCCTTTAGTGTACAGTTAGAGAAGGTTTTTGGGGTGATCTTTTCCTTTAGCGCACAGTAAGAGAAGGTTTTTAGGGTGATCTTTTCCTTTAGTGTACAGTTAGAGAAGGTTTGGGGTGATCTCCTTTAGTGTACAGTAAGAGAAGGTTTTTGGGGTGATCTTTTCCTTTAGCGCACAGTAAGAGAAGGTTTTTAGGGTGATCTTTTCCTTTAGTGTACAGTTAGAGAAGGTTTTTGGGGTGATCTTTTCCTTTAGCGCACAGTAAGAGAAGGTTTTTAGGGTGATCTTTTCCTTTAGTGTACAGTAAGAGAAGGTTTTTAGGGTGATCTTTTCCTTTAGTGTACAGTTAGAGAAGGTTAGGGGTGATCTCCTTTAGTGTACAGTTAGAGAAGGTTTTTGGGGTGATCTTTTCCTTTAGTGTACAGTTAGAGAAGGTTAGGGGTGATCTCCTTTAGTGTACAGTTAGAGAAGGTTTTTAGGGTGATCTTTTCCTTTAGTGTACAGTTAGAGAAGGTTTGGGGTGATCTCCTTTAGTGTACAGTTAGAGAAGGTTTTTGGGGTGATCTTTTCCTTTAGTGTACAGTTAGAGAAGGTTAGGGGTGATCTCCTTTAGTGTACAGTTAGAGAAGGTTTTTAGGGTGATCTTTTCCTTTAGTGTACAGTTAGAGAAGGTTTTTAGGGTGATCTTATCCTTTAGTGTACAGTTAGAGAAGGTTTTTGGGGTGATCTTTTCCTTTAGTGTACAGTTAGAGAAGGTTTGGGGTGATCTCCTTTAGTGTACAGTTAGAGAAGGTTTTTAGGGTGATCTTTTCCTTTAGTGTACAGTTAGAGAAGGTTTTTGGGTGATCTCCTTTAGTGTACAGTAAGAGAAGGTTTTTGGGGTGATCTTTTCCTTTAGCGCACAGTAAGAGAAGGTTTTTAGGGTGATCTTTTCCTTTAGTGTACAGTTAGAGAAGGTTAGGGGTGATCTCCTTTAGTGTACAGTTAGAGAAGGTTTTTAGGGTGATCTTTTCCTTTAGTGTACAGTTAGAGAAGGTTTGGGGTGATCTCCTTTAGTGTACAGTTAGAGAAGGTTTTTGGGGTGATCTTTTCCTTTAGCGTACAGTAAGAGAAGGTTTTTAGGGTGATCTTTTCCTTTAGTGTACAGTTAGAGAAGGTTTGGGGTGATCTCCTTTAGTGTACAGTAAGAGAAGGTTTTTGGGGTGATCTTTTCCTTTAGCGCACAGTAAGAGAAGGTTTTTAGGGTGATCTTTTCCTTTAGTGTACAGTTAGAGAAGGTTAGGGGTGATCTCCTTTAGTGTACAGTTAGAGAAGGTTTTTAGGGTGATCTTTTCCTTTAGTGTACAGTTAGAGAAGGTTTTTAGGGTGATCTTTTCCTTTAGTGTACAGTAAGAGAAGGTTTTTAGGGTGATCTTTTCCTTTAGTGTACAGTTAGAGAAGGTTTTTAGGGTGATCTTTTCCTTTAGTGTACAGTAAGAGAAGGTTTTTAGGGTGATCTTTTCCTTTAGTGTACAGTTAGAGAAGGTTAGGGGTGATCTCCTTTAGTGTACAGTTAGAGAAGGTTTTTAGGGTGATCTTTTCCTTTAGTGTACAGTTAGAGAAGGTTTGGGGTGATCTCCTTTAGTGTACAGTTAGAGAAGGTTTTTAGGGTGATCTTTTCCTTTAGTGTACAGTTAGAGAAGGTTTTTGGGGTGATCTTTTCCTTTAGCGTACAGTAAGAGAAGGTTTTTAGGGTGATCTTTTCCTTTAGTGTACAGTTAGAGAGGGTTTGGGGTGATCTCCTTTAGTGTACAGTAAGAGAAGGTTTTTGGGGTGATCTTTTCCTTTAGCGCACAGTAAGTGAAGGCATGTAGGGGTAAAGAGGCTCTGGAAATCGATGTCAGGCGTCTCCAGCACTGATAGAGCTACTTCTCCGTCTTTAATGGAGGAGAAAGACCCCTCACCTCTTTCCTCATAACTGTATTGATCTTTTAACACTCACACATGAAAGACATTCTTTGCAGTAGTTTAAAGTCTTTCCCCATGAGATCTCTCTTTCCTCTCGTCTGACTGGCTTCTCTCTCTGTCTCTCTTGTTCTATTAACTCCTCTTTCTCCCCTAGTTATTGAGACGCACTTCAGAATATCTTTTGTAGGTGGTTGCAGTTGTAAGTTTCTAAATGAAAGTTTTGTGCTGGTTTGGGCCCAGAGGAGCCACTCGAGTCTCATGTACTCTGTGCTTTGAGCTTTTCCAGTAGTGTGTGTGTGTGTGCGTGTGTGTGTGTGTGTTGGTGGAGTTAAAACCTTGCTTCCTCTGATTGGCTTTCAAGCGCAGGGCATCACTTCACTGCATCCTTTCATGATATGAAAAATGTTCTAGCGTTTTTACCATCTTAACTCGTGTCTTTGTGAATACTCAGACTGCCAAGTGTGGATTCAGCCGTCAGATACTTGAAATAATGAACAGCACCGGGTGAGAGACTTTTCACTAATCTACATACTGTGTAATTTAACAAAGCTCTTTTAGAGAATGTTCTTAACATTTATGAATTATTAAAAGCCTAAATGCATGTCATTAAAGTAACTTTTTTATTAACATTTCAGTGTTGAATATAATACATTTGACATATTGGAAGATGAAGAGGTGAGAGTTTGAAGTTTGTATTTCTACTTTTGCTTTTGGAAAATGTTGTCTTGGCAAAGCAACTTCATGAAAACCTAGTGAGCTCCCAAATTAAAACATTATGTTTAGAATATGATTTTGTTTACTGTAGAAATGTCCCTAAATGAATAGTTTGTTTGTTGGTGTATTTAGCCCAAACATGTACTTTTAATTGTCTTTTCAGGTTAGACAAGGACTCAAGACGTTCTCCAACTGGCCGACATTCCCACAGCTGTACGTTAAAGGGGATCTCATCGGAGGATTGGACATAGTCAAGGTGAAGCGCATAACAACAACTATGCAAATACATGTAGGATTAGGCGCTAAAAATAGCATTATATTTGAATGAATGAAAATGATTATAGACTCCTATTATATAGGACTAGTGTGTGTGTTCACACTGCTCTGTTAGTGCCGTCTGAACCCTGGTGCACACCAAACAAGCGGGCCGATAACGCTCTTAACAGAAGGTTTGTCTGTCTGGCTGATGACATTTAGTGTCCCCAACTTCTGTAGTCCCATTGTCACTTGTTAGCAACTGCCTGTTACAAGACAATTAAAAGCTTCAAAAAAATCATTATTACGGATGAATTTAATATTGTAAAATAAAACATGATAATGTCTTGAGTTGTTCACCACAGACCTTATTTCAAGCAAAACTTCAGGGCGATGCTAACTCGTGTCCGGGTTTTGGCCTATAAAAATATGTTATCACTTCCCCACACTATTGAACTGTTGTAACATTATAAAAGTGAGATGTACTGTTTGCTGCAGGGGGTGTTTTTCTCCAGCAGAGGGCAGATTAAGCTTACAATGAGCTCCTCTCTGAACCTAAAAAAAAATTAGATCCATTATCCACCAAAATGATATTTATTTTACATAAATGTAACAAATTATAGCACAAATGCATTGCATAAACAAGTTAGTTAAAGTTGTTGAACTTAAATTAGTATTTGGATATTTTTTTCATAAAATATACACAAAAAATGTAATTTTTGGATCATGACACTCCAGTGGAGAACCATTGCTAAAGGGGTAGGATACTATGCAAATTGAGACTTATTCTATTTTATTTTTACTGTATCATACTTCCAGATAAAAGGATGGAAAATGTGTTTATTTCATTAAACAGGAGCTGAAAGAGAGCGGTGAGCTGGTGTCTGTCTTGAAAGGAGAAAACTGAACTATTCCAGCTTTGAAGAACACCTGTAACCTGCACATCTAACCTCAGGACTGGAGAACTCGCATTAGACTTATTCCATCCAAGTTTGAAACTTTGCTGTAATAAATCCAAAAAATCCAATTGTGTTCCCATTGGTTTTGGTTGCACTGAAATATTTTAGACCTTGTGCACACCTGGTGTTTATATCCATCTCTGGTGATCTGATTACAAGTGGTCAGTCGACACCGCCTGGTTTTGACTTGTCTTAAATGTTAAATGTCTCCTGTGACCAAGTTAAGCCAGAGAATGTCCCTTCCCTTGCAACCATTTTCAATAAAAATGGCATTGGTCATGATCCAAGTCCTAGACATGTCTGTGTATGGGAATATTCTTTCAAATTTGCTAGTTATTTACTATTTAAATGCAGTGATTACGTGTTAGTCCTTTGCTATTTTCTGGGATGCCGCAGTGTGCATTCCCATTAATATCAATCCTGTTTTTCTTTAATGTCTCAGTCAATGATTTGGCATGTAAAACCATCTTGTGTGAATCGGTGCCCTAATTAAAGAGCTCAACGGACTGCTTTTCATTGCAGGTTGTTCGATTAGGCACATTTTTCTGCCTTTATTTGAGTTTTTATCCTGGATATGTGACCTCATTAATGAGTATGGGAATGATGGATGCACCACGATCACGTCCACTTGCTTTAAAAAATGTGACTCTTCAGCTTTTCAGACAGAGTGACTCTGCCAAGCTTGTGGGGACAGGAAGAACTCTCTTATTGTGATTAAAGATCCATAAATATTAATCAGCAGTCGTCGGTTGGTTGGGGGGGGGGGAGTCGACCCACACCTCATCTGGCTTTGAGCCGAGAGTGTAGAGTGGCCATTATGTTCCTCTTTCTTACGCACACACACACACACCTGTGGTTCTGAGTAATTGCAGCAGTCCCTTGATAACCTGATGGTTGTGTTGAGGAAACCTTTTAAACATTTCAACACATCTCCCCACAATAACATGCTCAAATATTCATTGATGCATGAACTGAAACATATGGCAACCACTGTTCATAGTCATGCATAATCAGGTACACACTAGCACAGGCTCATCACACTCCCTTAAAGAGAAGAAACGCATTCCAGACAATACTACTATACACATTGTGAAGGTCATAAATATAATTTGCACTACTACAAATACTTGATTTGTTTTGAGTGGGTAATAAGGCGTCAGTAGTGGGTCTCCCAAAATGCATATATTACTGACATTTTGGCTTATTTAAATTATTTGAGAATTCTTCGTCAGGTGGTTAAATGTTGATGGTTGATCTATAGTGATATTAGGCATAGTCTTTTCAAGTGTTTAAAATAAAGTCAGACACTTCACAATTCGAAAAGAAAGTTTTTTCTTGTGTCTATTCTGAAAATTAAGGTTATACAAATATCTTCATGTGCATAGTTCAATGCATAGGTCTACTATGATTAAATAAAACAACATAACAATTGCACTTTTAAACAAACATTCCTTTTTTACAGTTTTTTTTTAAAGAATAAACTGCTTTTAGCAGTATATTAATTAAATTAACTTATTTGTTAGCTGCAAGCTTGCTTGCATGGAAGACATTTAAATATGAAAAAAAAAAATATTGCCCTCTTAATTACCTTTATATCTGTGTATTATTTTATTGGATTATTCACAAGCCAACATATTCAAGGTACAAAAAGAAAAAGAAGGTAGTTCAACAATTCCCTGAACAAACAATGCAGCTTAGCCTTGTGGTTGTACAAACCATTGTCACTGTGTGATTCCCTAGCCTGCAATATAATTCTAATCATTATTTTTTTCTTCAAATGAAAAAATAAACTTTCAAGGTCTTGTTTGAGAAGACCACGCAGCTGGCCAATTAAAGGATTTTCAGTGTTTTTGTATAAAGGGCAATATGTTAAAGAGAACAATATTGAAATGTTTTTTTTTCTCTCCCCCAAACAACACACAATAAAACTTTTGGGTACAAATGTGGATTTTTAAGTTGAAATAGGTGGATATTTTTCACAGTGAGTCAGTTCCATGTCACCTGCAATGTGTGGGCAATCTCTCTCTAATGACTCTCAAAAGGTTACAATGTATTTGTTCACATTCATAACACTAATTACACATGTTTATTTTACAGGTAGACACATAAATATGTTTACGGTGGTTTATGGTGAGACAGGTGATTTAATTTAATTACTGATTGACAGCTAAGTGCTCACAGGTGAACAGCATTTTATGTAATTGTAAAAGATATCTGATTGGACAAATAGGCTTATAAAAACAAATGCCTGATTTTGAAAGTATACATAGATGTTTAGCTGGTTTGGTTTGGAGTAACAGACTCAATTGTTAGTGTTACAGGAGTTTTGTTAATGTGTTATTTTGCTATGGACCTGAGGTGGAAAAGGTTAGTTACTACTTTATTTGAAGTGTTTCTGGTGTTCATATGTTGCATGTGCAAAAGTTTATATATAAATTTTTTTTTTTTTCCCTCTTTTCTCCCTAGGGTCCCTATGTTATTGATCCTGTTGATCTTCTGGAAACATGCATTTGGAATGAAAGGTGGGAATCATTTAACTAATCAAATAAGGCATTTTTGAAGATGTCACTAATTTCTCTCTATTTGTTCCTCTGATGTCCTGTAGGTTGGAGTTCTCATGATGTTCCACCTCACCAGAAATGGCATGCCAACAAGATCACCTCACCTCCAGGAGCCCAGTCTTCAGTGTTTGAGACTCCAGTGACTGGAAGCATTCCTTTTGAAGAAGTGGCCTCTAATGTACTTGCTGGGAAAAGCCTAAATCCCAGCAGGTCTCGGTTTTCCCATTCACGTCAGTATGTAAAAGGTGGCATTTCAGGCAGCCATGCATCTATGTCTCATACCCAAAGTGCACCGAGTTCCTCTGTTTCTGCTTCCTTGGTCTTGCCTCAAAATTTGCCCAGTTTATACAGCAACCCATCACTGCTAAAACGTCAAGATTCCTTCAGTCCGAGTGTCCGGTATATAGCCAGCCACTCTGGCCTTCAATTTGAAGAAACCTCTAGTCCACTTTCTGCTCCGAGTAGCTCTTCCACTGGATCCTCTGCCAGTTCCCTCAGTGAGTTTATTTACACCTCTCAGGACAGCTCTCGGCCACAACTGGCAGGCAGTTCCAGTCAGCTTGCTTCTACAGATGGTGTAAGTGGTTTGCTACCCCAGTCTCAAAGCACTGCAAGTCAGATCTCTGGGTCCTCTATGAGTTCCAGACTTGCTGCTTCACCCCTAAGTGTTATCCAGTCTACCAGTGGTCAGAGCTCTCACAGCCAGTATACATCAGGCTCCCAGAGAATGGTTGGCACTAAGCTGGTAGCTTCCCGTCAATCTGTGCCTAAACTGCAAAGTAGTTATGGCTCATCTTTCCAGCCTCAAGGTGCCATTAGCCAGTATGCTCCAAATTTTTCCTTAGGAGGTAAAGTGCCTGTGTCCAGTCAGTACTATCCAGCAACTCAGAGTGGATCCTCTCGGTCTCTAAGCCAGTCATCTCAGAAGTGGCAGCCTTCAACTTCTAGGACTCAAGTTTTTCAGTCATCTAGACCAGCAGTGTTCCAAGGATTTCAGACATCTGGTGCATCACAAAGTGTCTCTCAATATCCTGGTAGTTTCGTTTCCTTGTCTATGAGCCAGCCATCTCAATTGAAGCCTTCCATTTTAAGGTTGTCTCAAGGTTTTCAGGCCTCTGGTACAGTGGCATCACAGAGTAAATCTCAGTTTCAAGGCTCTAAGTCTCCCAGTAGACCATCTACCTCTACCTCGGCAGCAAGTCCTGGCCAATCATTCTCCAATGTATATACATCCAGCTCCACAAGTAGAGCTGGTGCTCAGCTGGCAGGATCTAGTCGTTATGTGCCCATGCAGATGGGAAGCACTTCTTCTGATGGCTCATCTCTTCGTCTTCAAGGTACCTCTAGCCAGAATGCCCCTGCTTTGGTTGCAAAAGTTGCTCCGAATAAACTGGCTTCACGTGGATCATCGTCTCTGAGCCAACCGTCTCAATTGCAGCCTCCCAGCTATTGGTGGCACCTAGGTTTTCAGGCCCCTGGCACAGTGGCATCACAGAGTGGCTCTCCATCTCATGGCTCTAAGTCTCCCAGTAGATCATCTACCTTTACTTCAGCAGCAAGTCCTGGCCAATCATTCTCCAATGTATATACATCCAGCTCCACAAGTAGAGCTGGCGCTCATCTGGCAGGATCTAGTCGTTATGTGCCCATGCAGACAGGAAGCACTTCTTCTGATGGCTCATCTCTTCGTCTTCAAGGTACCTCTAGCCAGTTTTCCCCTGCTTTGGTTGCAAAAGTTCCTCCGTACAAACTGGCTGCTTCAAGTGGATCCTCGTCTCTGGGCCAACCGTCTCAATTGCAGCCTCCCATCTCTAGGTGGTCCCAAGGTTTTCAGGCCACTGGTACTGTGGCATCACACAGTGGTTCTCCATCTCACGGCTCTAAGTCTCTTAGTAGGTTCTCTACTCTTACAACGGCAGCAAGTCCTGAAAAACTTTTGTCCACACAGGATGGAAGTGGCAGATATAGGGGTTTGTTCGGCCAGTCTCAAAGGACCTCTAGCCAGTATGCCCCTGCTCCTTTGGATGCAAAAGTGTACAGTCAGGCTGCTCCAAGTGTAATTTCCTTGTCTATGAACAAGCCATCTCAATGGCAACCTTCCACCTCTAGGTGGTCCCAAGGTTTTCAGGCCTCTGGTACAGTGGCATCACAAAGTGGTTCTCTATCTCATGGTTCTAAGTCTCCCAGTAGGTTCTCTACCCTTACCTCGGCAGCAAGTCCTGGCCAATCTTTCTCCAATGTATTAACATCCAGCTCCCAAAGTAGAGCTGGTGCTCAGCTGGCAGGATCTAGTCGTTATGTGCCCATGCAGACAGGAAGCACTTCTGATGGCTCATCTCTTCAGCTTCAAGGTATCTCTAGCCAGTATGCCCCTGCTTTGGTTGCAAAAGTTGCTCCGTATAAACTCGCTGCTTCAAGTGGATCCTCGTCTCTGAGCAAACCGTCTCAATTGCAGCCTCCCACCTCTAGGTGGTCCCAAGGTCTTCTGGCCTCTGGTACAGTGGCTTCACAGAGTGGTTCTCTATCTCTGGCTTCACAGACTGGTTCTCTATCTCATGGTTCTAAGTCTCCCAGTAGGTTTTCTACCCTTACCTCAGCAGCAAGTCCTGGCCAATCTTTCTCCAATATATTAACATCCAGGTCCCAAAGTAGAGCTGGTGCTCAGCTGGCAGGATCTAGTCGTTATGTGCCCATGCAGACAGGAAGCACTTCTTCTGATGGCTCATCTCTTCAGCTTCAAGGTACCTCTAGCCAGTTTGCCCCTGCTTTGGTTGCAAAAGTTCCTCTGTATAAACCGGCTGCTTCAAGTGGATCCTCGTCTCTGAGCCAACCGTCTCAATTGCAGCCTCCCATCTCTAGGTGGTCCCAAGGTCTTCAGGCCTCTGGTACAGTGGCTTCACAGACTGGTTCTCTATCTCATGGTTCTAAGTCTCCCAGTAGGTTTTCTACCCTTACCTCTGCAGCAAGTCCTGGCCAATCTTTCTCCAATCTATTAACATCCAGCTCTCAAAGTAGAGCTGGTGCTCAGCTGGCAGGATCTAGTCGTTATGTGCCCATGCAGATGGGAAGCACTTCTACTGATGGCTCATCTCTTCAGCTTCAAGGTACCTCTAGCCACTTTGCCCCTGCTTTGGTTGCTAAAGTTCCTCCGTACAAACCGGCTGCTTCAAGTGGATCCTCGTCTCTGAGCAAACCGTCTCAATTGCAGCCTCCCATCTCTAGGTGGTCCCAAGGTCTTCAGGCCTCTGGTACAGTGGCATCACAGAGTAGCTTTTCATCCCAAGGCTTGAAGTCTCCCTGGAGTTTCTCTACCCTTACATCAGCAGCAAGTCCTGACAGTTTCTTTACACAAGATGGAAGTGGCAGACATAGTAGCTTGTCCAGCCAGTCTCAAAGTGCCTCAGGTCAATATAACCCTGTGGACTCCTCCACCTATGGCCAGAAACCTTCCAAGAGCTCCCCCACTTCAAGACGATACTCTTCATCTGTCAAGGGCTAATGGACCGCCTTATACATTTATCTCTACCTTGCACTAATGTCAATGCTAAATGGCTTAAATCTGGTGTGCTTTTATAAATGTAACTTGAGTCAATAAATTGCTTTAATGGGAATGTTGTTTCCTGTGTTATTTTAAACCCCAATCTCATGCTGGTGCCATTCAGGCTACATGCCTCATTTAAATGTTTCACTGTAGACCTATTCCTTTTTTTCCATTTATGTAGGCATGCTTTTAAATGTGTACCTTTTGCTGTCAATCTATTCAAACTTTCTCCAGTGTTTGGATGAGATGCAGTGTTGAGAGCAGTATAACTTCCTTATCATGTCTTTTCCCTCTTGTTTTAGAATGCATGGCAATGATAAAGGGTCTCAACTGAAAGTTTAAGGGCTTTGGAGGGCAAGTCTTTAGGACAGGGAGTCTTTAGGGTGATCAGGGAGGCAAGTGGATTTTTCTGAAGAACAGGCATGTCAGCTGGCTCTGACCTTGCCCTGTCTTTGCTGTGAGCATCTTTAGTGTGCCTCATTAAAGCCAAGAGAAGATGAAATGCGGTTTAATATTCCTCTGACAGAGAGGCCAGGAGAGGGCAGTCAGTCAGCAAATGAGAACTAACCCCTTCCCTTTTCCTTCTCGCTCTACTTCCCTCCCACCCATACAACATTTAACTGGTAGCCTATTTATTGGCATATGAAAATGTGTATTACCCAAGTGTCACAGTATAGCTTTGTATATTAAGAAACGGTGCATGCAGCCTTTTCAGATGTGATTCTAAGAAAACAGACATTTTGCATTTAGATGTTACTGTTGCATATGTATTTACCATCTAGGATTATAATAAAACAATGATTGTATTGTTATGACTTTGGCAGGCTAGGTCGATCACTAGTCTCAGCTTCAGACAGCATAACACCGGACTCCAACATGCATCCAAAAAATACAAATATAGCAAATATTACAAGCGCTTGAGTATTATGAATTTAAATGTGAACAGGTATGATTGACCTTTTGGGGTCAGACAGACCTTTTCTGTCTCTATTTTGGCAGTTATTGGCCAGAATAAGCTGCAGCTGGGACCATTTATGCTGTTCTTTTTTCTCTCTTGCCTTGCATAGCTATGAGAGCACCTGCATAAATATCACTGTTCAAACACTCAACAGCAGAAATCACAGGGGCATGAACAGATCAATACTTCCATTTTCTTCTTGTTAAAGGAGGCACTAAAATGCATTTTATCTCCTCACCGGAGATGCTTGGTCCCCTTTCATTATCTCAAAAAACGGCAACAAATTCCACTCAAGGTGTACCGTCTCATTTTGATTGGATTAGCTTGAAGCAATACGATTCAGTATTTAACTCCATGACCGCGGAGAGACTGGCCGCTGGGCTTGAGAGAGTAGAGTTTGGTGACTAAAATGCGGTCAGTTGATTTATAGATGTGTATCCGTGTAGTGAGACATGTACTGAGCTCCACAAACCCATCAGCAACAGTGACTTTGATCTGTAGAGGAAGTGAAGAAATGTCAATGTTGCACACAGTCTTTTCCTGACTATAATGATACCTGACTCTGTGAAGATCCTTTCATGTGTTGGACTCAGCACTGAGGTGAGAGGAAATGACTGTGAGTTTTGTTCCTCAATTTGTAGCATCATTTAGTGAGATGAGAGACAGCCTTGGAGGTGTTTGTATGTGTGTGTGAGCACACTGTGAATTGCTGAATGCGTGTCCGGTTAATTATATTCAAGGGAAAAATGCAGAAGCCAACATCATTTCTCAAACTGAAGCTTATCTGCTCTTGAAATAATGGTTTTGATTAATGTCAATTTTCAAAGGACATGACATATTACCTGTAATTTTTATAATTAAAAGAGATTGTTCGGTTTTGGGGATTATATAGCCTACAAAAGTCCAAAAACAGCTATTAAAATGCAAATTGTTGAATAATGTTTACAATATAAAAATAACCTATTGAGTACAGTTGATGTATGTTGTTTACAGAAGTACTTCGCCCATTCATTTCCTCCACAGAAAAAAAGCAAACAGGCTCTTGCTAACTTTGTCTTTTTGTCTAATTTGCATATACACTTCTGTGTATATGATGGTGTAGCCTACAGTAAGCGTGACAGTTTTGCTAAATAAACCTCTTCAGCATGATATACAACCTGGTGACCCCGTCGGGTGTATTTTGCAATATTGACCATGATTGTACATTATCCCACTTTATATGCACAGTAAGATCTGTTAGTTTAATGCTAGCCTATAATTAAGGTTTTATTTTAAACCCTCCTGCTTTCAACTCCAGGTCTTTTGTAATTTGTTTCATTAGTGGCCCCAAAACACAGAATAACCCCAGTGGAAACTCTCCTCTTTAGATTTCAATCATCTCGCTGCTTTTATTTTAGTCTGTGGATGATGCTGGAATTGCTTTTCAGATAAGAGATGGATTTTTCTCTAGTGTTAAAACAACCGTTTAGGAGGAATCAAATTGGAAGTGGAGAAATCCACTGGAGAAAAAGAGCAAATAAAATAGAGCCTTGTTTTCTCAATGTTCTTTGAATAATATTCCCTCTGTTTCATTGTTTACCCACTGTATGGCGCCAAAGACTGTGCTGCAACGCCACTGTAGTACCACTGCTGACCTGAAGAGAGCAGTAGAGACACTACTCATGTTTTCCAGTACACTCTTCACTCCACAAGAGACGCTACTGGTGGTTTTGCTTCATCACCCAATTTGCACACATAGGTAAGCCTATCGTATCGTGTAGTCTATAGTATAATCTTTATCTCCTTAACTTTTGTTCATGTTTTTTTTAGCAAGCTGTCCATGTCCAATTTACCAAGTAAAAGTGAAATTGAACAGTGTTTGATTGAATACATGGTCGTTTGAAGTCAGCAACAAAAGATAGATTTATTTTTTGTTTTTACTTGAAGAGGAATATTAACGTCTTTTTTACAGTCCATAGGCCTACAGAAAGTTCAATATCATAATGACCCACCACAAAAAATGTCTCCAACAAACTCCATGTTGGACTGGGAGAAGTTTGATGTTTTCTCGGCTGCATCTCCCGTTGCTGTTCATAAAGGTAGGAAAAAAACAACAATATTCTCTTATTATTAGTATTTTATGATGTTGGCCCGTCTTGACTTTATTTTCCACAACTTATAAAGATATTTAAGCAAGAGACCCTGTCTCATGTAATCAGACTTCACAATATTTCTAACATGAAAGAAAGTCCTTGAAACTGTAGGATGCTCACAGTCTTCAAAGCTACGTTCCCCTTCCTTGTTCTAATGCAAATAAATCCACTTGATATCTACTGTACAGAAATCTCTCTGACAACATAATTGAGATAAAAGCAAACTAATGTACCTTTCTTTCAAGAGTGACCCCTCTTCATAATGTATAAGATCTGCTGGTGCACTGTGCACTTTGTCAAGGTCTGTGCTCTGAAAAACTTATGTAGCATAAGATTTTTTTTCGGAGCAAATGTTCTTATATAGTCGGTATCCTGGTTTCAGTCTGATTCTGTTGAAGGCACTTTAAAGGGATAGTTCACCCAAAAATGAAAACTAGCCCATGATTTACTGGTGTGTAATGACATTCTTCTTTCAGACGGGGGTCCGTGAAACAAGAGGGAATGCTGCATTGATCTGCAAACAAATCCTCTCCCATCTCATGCTTAGTTTAGCTTGATATCCCATTGCCGAATTTCACTTTTATTATGTTTTTTTTTCCTAGCACCAACTGGGCCAGCAGCAGTAACTGATCCTGCGTCCAGTTGGGCTTTCTTTTCCGTTTCGGTGAGTTCACAATCCACCGTGATTCAACTATTACATTACTTCAATAGGAGCAACATTTCCTTGCTTTAAGTAGTCTATTTAGGCTAATAGGATGTCAATTAACCAAGCAAGTGTTAATGTGTTAATGTATTAGGCAAGTGATGGTTTTCATTGGGGTGTTAGGCTACCTTGATTTAATTTAATTTTATTCATGACTTTTCTCTCTCACTGCCTTTTTAGAATTACACTTCACTGGGGCCTGCACAAACATGTCATTATATATGCATTTGGATGCCATTACTATTATTATTTTGTGTAGGAGACACAGATATTTAGATGTCGTAATTCCATGATTTGTTGCGTCTGTGTTATGTTCCGCATGATGGCCCTGTCATCTAACAACCAATCACCGTGATCATTGCGAGGAAGCTCGTGTGTGAGAATTGACGCCATCCATTGCAACAAAGTTTTTTGCAAGCACTTTTACCATGGATAGATGCACTTTTACCATGAATAGATGCACTTTTACCATGAATAGATGCACTTTTACCATGGATAGATGCACTTTTACCATGAATAGATGCACTTTTACCATGGATAGATGCACTTTTACCATGGATAGATGCACTTTTACCATGGATAGATGCACTTTTACCATGGATAGATGCACTTTTACCATGAATAGATGCACTTTTACCATGGATAGATGCACTTTTACCATGAATAGATGCACTTTTACCATGAATAGATGCACTTTTACCATGGATAGATGCACTTTTACCATGATAGATGCACTTTTACCATGGATAGATGCACTTTTACCATGGATAGATGCACTTTTACCATGGATAGATGCACTTTTACCATGGATAGATGCACTTTTACCATGAATAGATGCACTTTTACCATGAATAGATGCACTTTTACCATGGATAGATGCACTTTTACCATGAATAGATGCACTTTTACCATGGATAGATGCACTTTTACCATGGATAGATGCACTTTTACCATGGATAGATGCACTTTTACCATGGATAGATGCACTTTTACCATGAATAGATGCACTTTTACCATGGATAGATGCACTTTTACCATGAATAGATGCACTTTTACCATGAATAGATGCACTTTTACCATGATAGATGCACTTTTACCATGGATAGATGCACTTTTACCATGGATAGATGCACTTTTACCATGAATAGATGCACTTTTACCATGATAGATGCACTTTTACCATGGATAGATGCACTTTTACCATGGATAGATGCACTTTTACCATGGAATAGATGCACTTTTACCATTGATAGATGCACTTTTACCATGGATAGATGCACTTTTACCATGG